TTGAGTCGGTGCGCCATTTTGACGTTTTGTACGTGATTAATGAAAGATTATTCTTTCAAAACAAATATGTTTTCAAACTATTATAGTCTATATGAAGGACACTGGTTTCTCCGTTTTTATTTGGTTTTCGTTCATCTAGCGAACAGATGAGATCTTTTATCTCTTACGAACATCAAAATTTTTGCATCAACATAATACAGTGCCACAATTGTTTTCACCCATTTTCTGTTACTAAAACTAAATGCTACTTGCACATACAGTGTTCTAAAAACAGAGCTGTGAAAAACTCTATATATACTATAGTATTTCTCATTTAATGTCATTAAAGACATTGAGCTATGCAACTTCGCTAATTACCACAGCATTGAAAAAAATATAAAATTTAATTCGAATTGATTATCTATTTCAAAGGGTTAACATATTGCGTACCAGCTAATTTTCAGAAAATTGAATTGTGCGGATGGCAATTTTCACTGAGGTCAACTTATATCACTATACATAGAAAAACTTAGATATATTGTTATGTAATATATTTTAAATATATAATCAATTCGAATTAGATTTTATATTTTCTTCAATACTGTGGTAATTAGCGAAGTTGCACAGCTAAGTGTCTTTATATAAAAATGCAATATGTTAAGAAGCTACACTATTAATCCCAATTCAAATGTCCTTTCGTTCTTTCATCCCTTTCACGGATGAAACTCGGAACCAACCCTTTCCCGCCTCATCTCGAGAGGCCATCTCACGCCTTTCGCTTGTCGGACTCCTAGCGGAGGAGTCTGATCTCGATAAGAGTGGACAGTTCCGAGGAAACTCGGTAAAATGCGAGCGAAGATTCGGAAAAATCGCGATAGGACAGCGGCGCGCGCGTCCTATCTCGTTTTCCTGTCGGAATCCTAGCAGGTTTCCGTCGTGGAAAACCGGGGCAAGTTTCTCCAAGATGTCCGCTCTCTCCTAGCGGACGTCCCGCGGTTATTACGGGGTCGGGGCGAGGAATCGCGCGGTGAAAAGGGCGGGCGGTTGCACGCACGGGGCGCTTTCTACCGATACCCATTGTCGCGTGAAAATTCACTTTTACGCAGCCTTTTCCGAGACGCGTCACGCTCTTCAACGTCGATCGCGAGCTTTCATGCATTGCTTGCTCGCTCCTTAAGGTCATCACCTTTCCGATAATGATCCAGTCGCGCGGCGATCGTGGCAACGCGCGAGACTTCATTTTACGGAGGGACGAACGTCGCTGAGACTCGATTTTCGTTTCATTTGTTGCGTTGGATTTTCTTTTAAACGAAAGTGTAACTGTATGAAGTTCGTAGGAAGAGAATATTATACTGTTTATTATTATCTATAGTTTTATTGATTAATCCCTTAATGAATGGTTCTCGTAACAATGCTGAGAGATTAAGATATCGGACTAAGT